TTTTATGTTTTATTAATAATAATTTAATTAATGTTACTCTATATCCATTTTAATTAATTTTTCTTTTTTTCTAGAAAAATTATCAAATTTAATTGCCGATCAAGAACTGGATTTTCGTCGCTTAAAAAATGGTGTTAAACCTCGACGAAGTCACACACGGACAAATAGAGAACGAGATACGAAAATTACTAACGCGCAAAGAGACTTAGTTAATAAAAGGTATTATTTTATAATTTTACAATATTTAATGCTTTGAGTCAAAAATGTTAAAACATAATAATTTAAAAGTTATATTAAATTTCTAATTTTTTTAAGGTTACCACTAAAAGACTTTTTACTCATGTTTACCACGAATTTTCAAATGGAACAAGTGACGTTATTTGAAGGTGAATATATTATTTTCTACATTCACTACTATCTATTTACATTTCTTCTACACTATCTTCATACATTATATGTAAATTATATTTACAATTAGGTATCTGTATCATAATCTTATAATGCTCATTAAATTTAAATATTTAAATTGGAATCATAATATATTATACATAATAATAACAGATTTATTCCAAAAATGTATAACTGTCTCTTTTTTAAAGATGCTTGTTGCGACGTAAATATAGTGGGCCCACTACGAAGCCTTGCCGAGCGAGGCTTCTAGAAAAAACCAAGCGCCCTTCGGACCTTTGGTCGAGCGCTCTAATCTTCTAAGTAAAGAATAGAGGGATATGCTTAAGTCACCAGTGACGCATCTTCCGATAAGAATCGAGTCATCAATCCGAGACAAAGGCGATTCGGATGACGTTGTTCTTTGACGATCGAAGCTTCGATCGTCAAGGAACAAAGAACGGCGGATATATATATGTATATATAGGGCCAACGGTCACGGCAGGACACTTCGAAGTCGTCTCTCGTAGAGCAAAGATCGAGCCCTTTTCCGAGTTCTCCGCTAAGTTATCGAGGCCGAGTCCTCGCGTTCGTGCGTTTGTGCGTACCGGAGACCGAGTTCTCCGCTAAGATATATCGAGGCCGAGTCCTCGCGTTCGTGTAATTTTAAATAAACAATCATAAACAAACGAAACTAGTGTATGGACTTAAACTCCCACACACGCAACAATGCTGAGTCATCAAGTGATATTATTTTACAAGCCGCAGATATAGAGTTGTTCACAGATAATTTAAATGAAACATTTCAGACAGGTAAATAGGATGTATAATTTCTTTTTCATCTGTAAATTTATTAAGTGCGTTAATTCTTTACAATTTTGAATTAATTTTTTAATCTGTTTAATATATGATCAAAAACTTTCAGTTTGTTAACTCTTTCAAATTTTATTACAATAATGTTGTTACACACTCTACATATATATAATATAAACAGTAAACCGCTAAAAATTTTTAAATTATATGATGATTTTACAGTACACATTTTAAATATTAAAAAAAAGTCAATTTAAATATTAGCTCTCAATCACTTAACTTTATTTATGTTCTCATAAATCATTTAATTTTTTTTAATTTTAGGCAGACAAAATAACCCTAGACACAGAAGATCTCGACCTAAACAAATAAATTCATCTAGCCGAAGAGAGGAAGAACATGTAACCAGAAGAGATGCAGGTAACAAAAATTTTGTCATACCTTACAAGTCTTTAAATGAAATTTTTCAGATGTTGTCATTATGATGCTAATGATACTCGCATATCTCGTTTCTACTACTTTTCTTTACTAGTTGTGTATAAATATATTATACAGGTATGTATAAAAATAATCTTTTATTTTCAGACCAAGATTGTGAAAGTTCTCCCGATACACAGAGGACAGCAATTACACATGCAATAATGCAGACGACACAAATGACACAGCATGAAGAATCTCAGACAATCAATATTACTTTTAATTCAGAAAGTGGAATCACAAATACACAAGGTAACATTACTACTTAGTAATTCAAGTTTGTTCGCGGCGAATGAACCATAGTTCGTAGCGGCCGGGTTACCGGCCGAGCGGCGTTACCGCGGCGCTGCACAGGTGCTCGGCGGCGCCGCCGCGCGTGCGAGCGAAGGTGAGCGAGAGCGAGCGGGGCATGCGCGTCGCCGCTCCTGTGACTTTTCCATCCGGTCGATGACAGTGACGATAGAGTGCCGATCGTGCGTTGAAAGGCGACGGACGGACGACGGGCCGATAGCAAGGATATCGGACCCTGCGAGTACGAGTTCGCGGTTGCGATCGAGTACGACCCTGGGAGGAAGCCATCGGCGCCAGGGAGACGACGAGGCACGCTCGAGGCTTCGGACTAGTAAGAAGGCCCGTGGATCTCGCGGGATTCCGCCACAGCCCAGACGGCTGAGCGGCCATCTTCCACCTCGGAAGGATCGAGTGACGGGGACTCTGCGCGGGCGATCTCGCCTCTGCCGGGAGTGAGTCCAGAGGACAACGGACCCCGCCAACGGGGAAGGACGACCGCCCTGCGACTGGGTCGAGGGCGCCGACACAGTCGGTGCGCACATCGCGTAGTCGCGAGAGGATACGATTGCGGAACAACAGGTAATTGCGGGGGATAGCCGCGGGTGCGGGTCTCGCCGTTGGAGGGCCGTGTTCGAGAGGGAACGCGGCCCCCCTTTTGGTACTTGCGGGGGATAGCCGCGGGTGCGGGTCTCGCCGTTGGAGGACTGTGTTCGAGAGGGAACGCGGTCCCCCTCTTTGTGCTTGCGGGGGATAGCCGCGGGTGCGGGTCTCGCCGTTGGAGGGCCGTGTTCGAGAGGGAACGCGGCCCCCCTTTTGGTACTTGCGGGGGATAGCCGCGGGTGCGGGTCTCGCCGTTGGAGGGCCGTGTTCGCGAGGGAACGCGGCCCCCCTTTTAGTAATTGCGTTGCGACGCGCGCGCTCACAAGGGAGAGCGGGGAGGGGGCGGTGTCGGTGTAGCGGCACCCGCCATTTCGGTCTGCGGCGGCCATTTGGGCCGCGTCGGGCGACAACTACCGCGCGGTACGTGATGTAACAGCGATCGCGATTGTAATCTGGTGTGAATGGGCCCGCGCCGCCGACACGGCGGCCGGCCACTGTGTTCTAATAAAGTATACGCTTGCTCGGGCTTTTCCCTTGATTCGCAAGGGTTTTTATGCCTCAGCAAGTGTGAGTGTACCGCGAAAATCTGGTGTTATGATTGTGTAAACCTTCCTGAGACTGCGTCCCGCTTCCTTATCTACGGGCCCGTGACTTGAGATTTATGAGACTTATGCGCGTACCGAACGCCCGAGGCGTTCCGATCCATGTAAATTCGGACAGGGCTTCCCCGCGGAGAGGAAGCGACACTAACTTAAACACACAAAGTTGCTTCAAGACATTAAAGTTAATTTGTCTCATATAGATTTATAGACTATATTTTAACTCTTCTTTCTCTCTTTATTAGTTTCCTTTACTAGTTTTGTATTAAATAAATTACACAAAAATATATAAAAATAATTCATTTCCAGTCCAAGATTGAGAAAGTTCTTCCGATACACAGAGGACAACAGTTACACATGATATAATGCAGACGACACAAATGACACAGAATGAAGAATCTCAGACAATCGATATTACTTTTGATTCAGAAAGTGGAATGACAAATACACAAGGTAATATTACTACTTACAAGGGACCGTTTCAAAGTGTCCT